CATCTAGGGTTAACTCTTTAAGATTTGTGTGGGGTTGTAAGCCTTCAAGAATAGCTTTATCATTACTTGCACATTCATCATATTTACCACATTTCCAGATAAGTTCTAGGCTCTCGACATATGGCTTACTTTGCAAATTGGCGCTCTTTGCATTTTCATGATCGACCACATTTTCAAGCCCATAAAGCTTTAGACTTCTTTGTAAATTTGTTAGGGGTTTCAACCATCTAATACTAGCATATGGACCATTTCTTCTTATGTGATATGTAGATGCAAGCAATTTATTTTCTCCATCATTAAACCTAAGAGTAAGGAGATTTTTACTCCCGAAATATGCTTTCGACACTAGTGCTTCATTCCTACTTACAATCATCAAGTGACGTAAGTTGATAAGTTTTTCCATTGCATGCGGTATCATATTTATATTAGGTGATACAATCTTTAGTGTTTGTAGCTTATAAAGGCTACATAATGAGTTCTATGTCATATGGATTACACTTGCATAGATAGAGAGGTAAAAGAGTTGTTGCAGGTAACCTATCGAATCTATAAATTCATAGCTGCATTCAAAATCAGGATTATGAAATCTTAAAACACGCAAGCATCCCAAATGAGAGAATGAAATCTTAGAATATAATCTATGAATGTAAAGTGTTCTTATATTCCCAAGTGGAAGAATATGATCAACCATTACGTCTGTTATGAATATATGCTTTGCGTTTTTGGGGATGTTCTTCAATTCATAAAAATCTAATGAAGAACATATCTCATTTCTGGTTATAGATTGAGCTAAATCATGCACCATGTCATGCAAAACGAATATATCATATTTGAACAATTGAAATAATGACCTTCTCACCAAGTCTTCAAAGTATTCAAGTGAAATATCTTCCAATAAACTTTTTCTTTCTGTAAGCTGAATGTAACCTTGATCGATCCACATTCTTATCAATTCTGGTTTCTCAAAGTAACAATCCTTTGGGAACAGAGATGCATAGAGAAAGCATGGTTTAAGATATGATGGCAAGTGATTGTAGCTTATCCTTAGTGTAGACAAAATAATTTCTTTGGGATCCCATAAATTATTGTTTAACACATCCTTCCATGTTTGCTCCTTAAATTCATTTCGTAGAAATCCCCCAATAACTTTTAATGCCAAAGGCAATCCGTCACATTTCTTAGCAATTCTCCTCCTAAGTTGTTCAAAATCTAGCTGTTGATCATGCTTCCAACCATGGAAAGCATAACTTTGGAACAATAACCATGAATTCTCTTCATGCAAGCATTCAAGCTGAAGTGGGTACACCATTTGCATGATGTGAGCAACTGTCATAGATCGAGTTGTTATAATAATCTTTCCTACTCCAGTACCAGAAAAGGGGGCTCGTAAGGCCTCTCATATATCTGCTCTCTCATTCCAAATATCATCAAGAACAAGAAGAAATTTTTTATTCAATAGAGCGTCCTTGAGTTTGCATTGAAGATAATTCAAGTTATTATTATCATTGTACTTGGATGAACCCACAACGGATGACCAAATTTCTTTTGTTATTCTCAAGACATCAAATTGTTCAGAGACACAAACCCAAACCTTTGGGCTAAAATAATTGCATACCTCTTGATCATTGTATTCAAGTTGAGTAAGTGTCTTCTTTCCCACACCCCCCATGCCGACAATGGGAATTACAATGTTCTCTATCTTTGAATGAGACATTAACAATTGAATTATCTTCTCTTTTCATGCTCCCTTCGAAAAACATTAGATTCAAGCACAAGAGAACTACTTGGTGGCCTCTTCATAACATCATTGAAATGAGGCTGCCTAGGTATATCTTCTTCTCTAAGATAAAGTGCTTTTCTATCATTTGCAATCTCATCAAATTTCTTTATGATCTCAATGATCCTCATGGCCATGTCACAAGAAATGGGAATTTTAATTGAATTAGAGGGAGGAAGTGATACCTGATCATAGTTTTCATGCATGATCAACATATTGATAAACATATACACTCGGTTTCTAATAATTATAATTTGAATTTAATTTAGGAGTGGAAGACATACCTGAGAGCCATAAATATCATCATCATCCACTTGTTTCCATTTTAGAGAAGGCTTTACTTCAGCTGATGTTGTCATTCCTTCCAATTGGGTTTTGATAACTTGATAAGCATATTGATCCAAGACATCTTCAGCATCATATGCAACTTCTCTAAGCTCGTTGAGCCAGAGTTGGATAGCCTTGTCATAGATCTCCCTCTCCTCGGCATCATGAAGAACTGCCTGAATTCTTTGCAGCATCCTCGACAATCTGCTTAAATCCTCCATTAATCTTTTTTGGTTCGAATTAACTTCGATAGAAGTTACATCTTCTTGTGTTATGGATGATGAAGAAGATTCAACCAATGAAGTAAAGGTAGGCATAAACTGGGACAACCGTTTCAAGGAAGACAATAGATTGGAAATGATTGAAGAAGTGGTTCCTGCCATTTCCAAACTTTAGCTCAAGAATCGATGAAGCTTCAATGTGGATTGCAGATGATTTAGAGA